AAATTTTCTCTGTTCGTATCTTGATTTTTTTGGCTGCTAATCTTGATTGGCCCTTGTTTCAGTTAGATATCAAGAATGTCTTCTTACATGGTGATTTGGTTGAAGAGGTCTACATGGAGTAGCCACCTGGATTTACTGCTCAGGGAGAGTCTGGTAAGAGTGTTTGTCGGTTAAAAAAATTTGTGTATGGTTTAAAGCAGTCACCGAGGGCATGGTTTGGTAAGTTTTCAGATGTAGTTTTAGAGTTTGATCTTCTTCGATGTCAAACATATCATTCTGTGTTTCATAGGCAGACAGATGCTGGGTATGTCCTATTGGTGGTCTATGTCGATGATATTGTGATTACTGAAAATAATTCTGAGGGGATTACCAAGTTAAAATTATTTTTACAGGATCGATTTCATACTAAGGATTTGAAAAAACTTAAGTATTTCTTGGGTAATGAGGTGACTCGATCTAAACAGGGTATTTGTTTATCTAAGAGAAATATATGTATTTGACATGCTCGAGAAAACAGGTTTGCTGGGTGGTAGACCGATTGATGTCCCTATGGATCCGAATCATAAATTATTAATGGATGATGGTGTATTGTTTGAGAATTCGGGTCGGTATCACAGATTGGTTGGGAAGCTTAATTATCTCACTATTACTCGACCGGATATTTCCTATGTAGTTAGTGTAGTAAGTCAGTTCATGGGATGTCCTAGAGTACCACATTGGGAGGCAGTTACTCGTATTCTGCGATATCTCAAACGAACTCTTGGACTTTGACTGTTATATCGAGCTAATGGACATTTTAGAGTGAAATATTTCTCAGATGCTAATTGGGCTGACTCTCCTTCTGATCGGAGATCAACCACTGGTTATTGTACTTTCCTAAGAGGTAATGTTGTCTCATGGAAAAGTAAGAAACAACCTGTGGTAGCAAGATCCAGTGCTGAGGCTGAGTATAGGGCAATGACACATACGATAAGTGAGTTGACTTGGCTACTGCAATTCCTCCAGGAAATTGATTTTTCAGTTCAACTTCCTTTACAGTTGTTCTGTGACAATCAGACAGCTATCCATATCGCTGTCAATCCTGTGTTTCATGAAAGAACTAAGCATATTGAGGTTGACTGTCACTTTATTCGGGACAAGATAGTAGCCGGGGAGATTATAACTCCATTTGTGAAATCTGAAGATCAGCTTGCAGATATGTTTACCAAAGCATTGAGTCGTACACGCCTTACAATTATTTGTTCCAAGCTTGGATTATATAATATATATAGTCCAACTTGAGGGGGAGTGTTAAGAATAATAGAGTAGTAGTATGTGTAAATTGTTAATAGTAAAAGGGATGTATGTGTTATTATTATTATTGTAAGTTAACTATAAATACAAGTTATGTATAAGAGCTAGGTTAAGTTTTTTAACCTCTCTCTTTCTCCCTAATATTGCCTCTAATATTGTGTTATATTAATTCTCTTAACTTAACATAGAGTATGAATTTTCTAATGACATCAGGAATCTTCAAACCTCATCTGATGAAGAAAATCATCATCACAAAAGAAGGCATCTTGTTTTTAATCCAAATAAGCACATGAACAATCCACAGTTTGCAGTTGGTATGTTATTTGCCTCAGCTAAACACTTCAGAGATGCTGTAAAGGAGTATTCCATATTGAATAGGAAGGAAATAAGCTTTGTGAAGAATGATAAATGGAGAGTCAGAGCCAAGTGCAAGCCACCATGTAAATGGATGGTGTTTGCATCTAAGATGCAAGGTGAAAGTACATTGCAAATGCAGAGTTTGATTGATAAGCATACCAATTGTAGACCAACATTTTATAACAAGAATGTGACATCAAATTGGTTATCCAAGAGGTATGTGGATAACTTTAGGTCCAATCCACAATGGCCAACAGAGTCTTTTAGGGAAACTATCCTAAAGAATCACTCAGTTGGAGTATCAAGAAGTAAATTTTATAGAACAAAACAAAAGGCTAAGGTTCTAGTTGAGGGCAATCATAGTGAGCAATACAAACTTATATGGAATTATTGTAAAGAAATCAAAAGGGCAATGCCAGGATCTACAATGGTTGTAGCTGTGGATGACAACATTGGTGGAGATGAAAATCCAAGATTTAAAAGATTATATTGTTGTCTGGGACCACTCAAGCAAGGTTTTATAACAGGGTGTAGAAAAGTGATTGGATTAGATGGATGTTTTCTGAAAGGAACATATGCAGGGCAATTGCTATCAGCAGTAGGGGTTGAAGCAAATGACGAGATGTACCCTTTTGCATATGCAGTAGTTGAAAAGGTAACAAAATCATCATGGACTTGGTTTGTACAACTACTTTGTGCTGACATTGGGCTTGCAGACCAGTCTGAGTGGACTATTATTTTTGACCAACAAAAGGTAATAGCAGTTTAATGCATACTATGTATTAATTTACATACATACTATGTTTGATTCTACATTTGAAATGATACCATTTTAATGCACTTTGAGTTTTCCATTTCTAGGGTTTGGTGCCAGCAATTCATGACCTTCTGCCAGACTGTAAGCATAGATTTTGTGCAAGACACCATCTCAGTAACTTTAAAAAGGAGTATAGGGGTAAGTTGTTTTCTCAACTATTTTGGAAATGTTCCAAAGCAATCACTTTGGAGTACTTTAACAAATGCGTGGGAGATATGAGGAATGTAGATAAAGGGGCATTTAGGTGGTTAGATTCAGGTGTCCGACCTCAACATTGGTGCAGGGCATACCTTTCCACTAGTAGAATATGTGATATGTTGATAAACAACAATTGTGAGGTATTCAATAGTGTCATAGTAAAGGCAAGAGAGAAACCCATTATTACAATGCTGGAAAACATTAGAATGTTGTTGATGAGAAGGATTAGGAAACATAGAGATGACATGAGTAGACACCCTGGTTCATTATGTCCTAGAATTGAGGAAAAATTGGATTATATTTCAACAGATGCTATGGGCTACGTTTGTGAATGGTCAGGTGTATCACAATTCCAAGTTAAAGGGCCATATGTTCAATTTGTTGTTGACTTAAGGGAGAAATCATGTGCATGTAGAAAGTGACAATTATGTGGAATCCCATGTGCACATGCAGTTTCTGCTATTTTGCACCAAGGAGACAAGCCTGAAAATTATGTGCATGAATGCTACTCAAAAGAATCCTATATGAATTTGTATAAGCATCTGATCAATCCCATTAATGGACCTGACTTGTGGCCAAGCTTTGGAAAAAGGCCTTTGAATCCACCTACATTAACTGTTTAGCTTGGCAGACCCAAAAAACAGAGGAGAAGAGAGGCAGATGAAAGGAGGAAAGAAGGAAAACTAGGGAAACGTGGGAAAGTTGTGATGACCTGCACTAAATGTGGGAAAGTTGGTCACAATCGTAGAAGTTGCACACCTGTAGAAGATTCAGCAACTGCAGCAGCAACAGGTGCAACTAATGCAGCACATTCAGCAACTGCAGTAGCAACAGATGCAACAAATGTAGCAAATTCAGCAATTGTAGCAGCAAATGCAACAGATTCAGCAACTACCTCAAGAGCCAATATCCCAGGAACATCAATTGCAGTAGATTCAACAACTGAATGCAGGCCATTGTTACTAGCCAGAGCAATTAGGAAAAAATTACCAGTATGATTTTTTATTTATTAAAATCATTTCATTGTTACTAAACATAGTACTAAATTTATTTTTTATTATTTTTAGATTCGGAGGAATACAAGCAATCAAGCTGGAGCATTCATTCCACCCAAATCAACAGTTGCTGTCAATCTCAGTCCATCAGCACCACCCAACTGAAACAGAGCTGCAATGGATGTAAAAAGTCTGATTTTGTTTTTGAATGGAGCTACAATGGATGTATTCAACCTTTTTTTGTTATCTTTTGAATGGTTGATGTATTCAACCTTTTGAATGTATTCAACATTTGTTTTGTCACCTTTTGAATGGTTTTTGACAGTTGATGTATTCAAACTTTTTTTGTGAATCGTTGTTAGAATTACTGTATGGAATGTGTTTTCAATGCTATGGAATGTATTTTTTAATGCTATGGAATCGGTAGAAAATGACTTATAAATCCGTACCAAAAGCCATTTTCATTCATTAGGAATAGACATTACATTCAGTATAACATTAAACATGATGATCAGATTGCAAGGATCATCAATTACAACTACAAACATCCTTCTTCGATTCCTCTGCATCTACGTTTAGCAGCAGCCAAATTAGGAGATAGCAAACTCCTAATGCTACCCATAACATTTTCTCTCTTGCCTTAACCTTTCCTTGTTGAGCCTCTATAGTATTCAATTTTTGAAGAAGTCTTGGAATCACTTGTCGTGAATGAACGCACATTGGCGGGTCTTGCCAAATGAAAAACCCGCACCCACTATTCTGCATCATTAAAGTATGCAAGCACTAAGCATTAAGAGGGAAAGGAAGAAAAAAAGGAATTCTCCATTCAAGCTAGATACCTACACCCATATTTGGACATGTCAAAAATCTTCTTCCGGGATTCTGATCTGTCCAAGAGGTTTTCTTTACAGCCCTCTTTCCGCAATTACAAAACACATCCATAAATCTCAAACTATATAGGTTCTCCTTCTTCCCCTCTTTTTCTTGCTGAATGTGACTCTATTTCTGCAAAACCCAACACAACACACACAGAACTCTTTATGCTTTGTAAGGGAGAGAAGCTGTAAAAGATTTGGCGCCAAAATAGTTGTTATTCCCTTAATTATCCTAGACTTTGCCTCACGTGAGTTATGCGTGCGTTTTTCCGTTATAGTAAACGGATGAATTGGATGGAAGAGCTTGATTGACATACATTGACAAGTTGAGGGGTTAAATTGACACAAATCAAAGTTGAGGGGCTTAATTAACTAAAATCATATAGTTTAAGGGCTAAATAGATAGTTAACTCATTATTTTATATATAAGTATGAAATATTACGTGATTAATGTTCGACTTTTAGTATTACGTAGTGTATATTAATTTCTTGAGAGAAGTCAATGAGATTTTTTCCAAAGCATCTGGGAGTTTGCCGGCACTGGCAATCCAAGCGGTCGCCGCATATACGGTTACGATTACCACAATGCCGCCGCAGCAGTCCATGCATGGTGATGTCATAAGCACAAAGCAACAACCACCGTAGAGGGCTCCACATTATCGTGGCAATCGTGCGGGCGTGAATGCCAAAGAGGAAACAATTTGTAAATGCCAAGAGTTGACAGCTACTGAAATTCTGAAACGCAAGTGGACGACATACAAAGGAAGAATGGAGAAACAATTTGGGAAGAGATTTGAAGGGAAGGTTGCGATTATCACGGCTTCGACTCAGGGCATCGGCTTCAGCATCGCTGAGCGTCTCGGCTTGGAAGGAGCCTCTGTTGTCGTCTCCTCTCGCAAACAGGTTGATTTCTGGATTTTTTTTTTCTTTTTGAAGAATTTAGACATTAACTCTGTTATTAACCCAACGTCGTTCCCAAAAGTCCCGGAGGTTAGAGTTCATAACTAACACGTTAGATTTCCCCATGCTCGGAGTCGACGTTCACGATGACCCACTCTCGACACTGATCCAACGGGAGCTCTTTCTTTTTGGCACTATGCTCATATATAATATTAAGACATTTTAATTCAGTCTATAAGTCGCACCTTCTGTAACTCGAATCCATGACGTGGTGCACGCCAAAGAGAAAGGGCTGTTGGATTAGTATCCATAGAGTGAGCCACCGTAGATGTTGATTCTGGATGTGGTAGAATGAATGTTATGTTCAAATAATTATGAACTCTAACTCTCACAAGTTATGTGGCTTTTGAATCGAAGGTTTGGTTCATAACAAACTCGTGTGGGTCTAAATTTTCCTCAAATTCGAATTCTATTATGCATAATCATGTACATCAGTTGTGGGTGTCCCTCAAATTTGGAATTGGTGAACATGTGAAGGGCTTTTGGAATAAGGGCAATTCAATCTGAATTTGAACTCGGGGCTTAAGAAGAACTTCCTCGAAAGAAATTTTTTTAGTTTTGATGAACAGAACAGCTTGGTTTTTACTATTTGGGATTTCTTATTAGCTTAAATTTGATTTCCATTAGGTATGTGTTTGTGTACGTGTTTATTATATAATGGTTTAGTGATGAGCACATTTGTTACTGTTGTTCTGAACGGTTTACAGAAGAATGTAGACGAGGCAGTGGAACAGCTTAAAGCTCGAGGAATCGAAGTGTTAGGTGTGGTATGTCATGTGTCAAATGGACTGCAAAGGAAGAATCTGATTGACGAAACCATTCAGGTGATCTTGTGTGCTTGGGATTTGCAAATTTTAATATTCTCTTAATGCTCCCCCTCCCCAAAAACACACACACAGACACAAAACCCAAAATTGCTATTGTCTTGCATGGAAAATCAGTGCTGCGGCTGTTATGGATCAATTCTTTTGAGAGTTAATTTATGGTGGTGGCTTTATAAAACACTAAGATACAAATTTATCCTATTAGAGGAAGGAAAACACCAGATTTTCCTATTGCCACCAACTTGTGTGTTGCTGAACAGTAAACTCAGATTTACTTTTATCCTTTGGCACTTGTTTTTGCAGTTGTTCTTTGTTCCTGATTAAGAATCTTAGGCTTCTTTGTAATTCTGGTTTTTCGGCTTTCATGCAAGCAATCATTTTTTGTAAGTTTTATGTTATCCTGCAGTCTATATATGGTTATGTTAACACTATGTTTCTTTCCTACACTTATCATCTTTATTGCCAAAGGTTTTTTAGTGCTATTTTCTAACACTCATCCCTGCCCATGCCTGGTCAATAGATTTACTGCATGTATTTATTCTTCAAAGTTGGTTTTAAGGTTTACGTTAAAACATGACCTCCCTGTTTAGATCATGTCATTGTGTGAATATTTTTTATTAGGTAATGATATATTGTAGATGATTGAATATTTGAGAAGCCCAAGTAAAGAAGTACTATATAGAAAACCTTGTTTTTCTTTCTTTGCGATTATTCTTTTCTTTAGTTTTGGTTTTTGTGGCTTTAAATCTTCTATCAGTGTGGATTGTCATCTTGTATTTGTTTATCTTCAAGAGGGATTATTCGAGTTGATTCTTTTACTCTATTTAGGTCCAAATTTGTTAAATGGGACTTTGTGGTTTCGTTGCAGAAATATGGGAAAATAGATGTGATTGTCTCCAATGCTGCTGCTAATCCTTCTGCTGATCCCATTTTGGAAATTAAAGAATCAGTACTTGACAAACTTTGGGAAATTAATGTGAAGTCATCTATCCTTATTGTACAGGTTAGTCCATCTAATGATAAAAATCATGTTGAAATCAGAGCGACACGACGACAAGGCAGATGTGTGTGTATTATATGTTGAATGTAAATATGGGTACAAAAACATCGCTAGTTTTCTTGACCGTTTCTAGCAGTGCTTTAGATTGCCTTTTCCCATTTCACAATCTCTTTGTTCCTGTTCATGACTGTAACAATGCTCCCCCCCCCCCCCCCCAAAAAAAAAAATAAATAAATTGTTTTTATTTTTTTCCAACTACAGGATGCAGCACCTCACTTGCAGAAGGGTTCATCTGTTATTTTTATTTCCTCTGCTGGTGCCTACCAACCACAAGCTTCCATGGCTATGTACGGGGTGACAAAAACAGCTCTTCTTGGTCTTACCAAGGTACTTGCCAAGGTTCTGATAACATGTTAGACTGAACCAGTTTTCTGATTTCACATTTATCTCTCTTGTGCTTTCATTTAGGCCCTTGCCACTGAGATGGCCCCTGATACCCGTGTAAACTGTATTGCCCCTGGTTTTGTGCCCACAAATTTTGCTGATTATATTACGAAAAATGATGCAGTTGTAAGTTGTTCGATGCTTTAGATGTATAGAGTTTTATCAATTACAAATGATCATAGATTGACTTTCATCTTGGGATTGCTTGTAGAGGAAGGCCATTATGGAGAAGACATTGCTCAACAGGCTCGGAACAACGGAAGACATGGCTGCTGCCACAGCCTTTTTGGCTTCCAGTGATGCTTCTTATATTACTGGAGAAACTCTGGTGGTTGCTGGAGGAATCCCTTCTAGACTTTAATTTTCTCTTCCTTTGTTTTACTAGTTTTTCTTTTTCTATCTTCTCTCTGCATTTTGCCACAAAACATAATCAATAAATTCATGTATTCTCTTTTCATCAATAAACTCGGGTGTTTTTTTTTTTTTTGGGGAATAAGTTTTATTTACTGTACTCCTTATCATTTGCAATAAAATTTAGTGCCAATTGTTAAAATGCAACTATGGAAGCTGTAGTGTTTTACTAGAAAAACTAAACAACCTACATTTGTCGACGGATGTGGGAATCAAGCCATAGCAAAACGGAAAAATAGGATTGACTGCAGATTGAAGCCAGAGCAAATGGTTTCACAAGTTTGATTCGATGTGTAGGAGAAGAATGATGAGGAATTGTGGAAAAAGTAGAACCTAGTCCAGAGTATATAGATCAGCAATATAAGGGAGGAAACAATAAACATCAGCTTCAGTGGCGTCAAGGGCCTGAACAAAACCTGTCTTTCTGAAGAACTTTGCTTTACATGCAGACACTTGACCGATTCATATGTTGTAATACAAAAAATCAAATAGAATACATTCCATAACCAAAACTACAGATATCGATCTTTATACTCATACTACAATTGAGGCCACTTGGAAAGAAAAAAAAAACAAATTACTTCCACATGCATACAGAAAACCAGTTATGTACATTAAATCAGCTGAATCAAAATGGTGTAATATCAGTACAGCACAACTTTAGCCGCTCCTGGGAGGGAAAAGCTTCTTTCCCTTACCAGTTCCATTAGAACTGCAAAGCATAATGTAGACCCACCACAAGACTATCCATAGGAATTATAAGATCTCTTCATCTTCTTTGCCGATTTACAAACACTAAGATCCTGGGAAATATGGACAATGTGGTCTGGTCGTGTGTGATGCTTTCTTTAGGAGTTACTCCTCAAATATATAAGCATGATTCATTGCAGATGGAGGTTGAAATGAGTACATATCTACACAGGAATTGCTTCAACATTTTGACTCTCATCACACGTTAAAATAAGACCCTCAATATAGGTTGGAAGGAGGCAACGGGACCACTGACAGCCCGTTGAAATGGGTTCTGCGGGTGGAACAATCATGAGCACATTATCATGGCGTTGGACAACCCCCATCACACTGACTGTGCTTCCTTCTTTGATATATCTGCCATGCAAGGAGCAATCATTTGCTATCAGCTATTTTCAAAAAACCTTAAAAGGAGATGGCAAAGACCCCTCCGGAATCAAACAGTTGTACATCCCATATTTAGGTGCCACAAGATATGAAAACCCACACAAACCAAGAAATGCATGAAATAGGGTTTCAATACAGCAAATCAGCAGCTTACCCTTCTTTAAGGCGCATTACACGGTCATCACTTGAGAGGCTGCGGTCAGCAAGCCAGCGTAAAAAACCCGGAGATAACTCTTTTTCCTTTGTTATATCGACAATTGTAGTTGGCTTTACCAATGGAGCAACCTTAGCCCCATAACCTGCTTTCACTAGAGCTCTTAACCCAGACTGGAAGTCTGATATGTAAAAATCAGCTACGTGTTTCTGTTAACAAGGTGCAACAAGATGGTTAAAGTTAGGTCAGATGAAAGCTTTCTCCAGGCATGGCTAGTGTAGAGAATTAGGCAGACTCAGAGAAATGAGCTTGATAACATGCCACATTTGCCACTTAGAAAGACTCATTACAATATCCTAAACTCATTACAATATTACCATATCCTAAACTGTGTACCCACTTGATTTGAGTGCAGTGAGCTCAATGGCATATCCCTATGTGCAGGGGCAGAGCTACAACGGAGGCCCTGACCCACACTCAATTTTGTCTCATAATTATTCCCACACACATATATATGAATAATTTTTTTTTAATTTATATGATTGTGCTCACACTATCATTTGTATAGACCCACAAGTAAATTTCTATGAACACATTACGGACATGTTTTGGGTATGTTTGAATAAGTATATGATTGTGCTCACACTATCATTCGTATAGACCCACAAGTAAATGTCAATGAACACGTTACAGACATGTTTTGGGCATGTTTGAATAAGTTTTGAACACATTAATGGTCATTTTGTAATTTATTATTGTACAAAAATTATGATCATTGTATATTAGAATTTGTTATCATTTCTTGAGTACATCAATCATGACATAAAATTGCAAAATATTTGCACTTAAAAATCCCATCTACAAATATCTTTATATAAATAAATTATTCTCAACAAACAACTTTATTTGAGGTCCCATTGGTCGGTTATAACACTATCCATAATTTTTTTAGCAACTCTTGGTCTTTGCATCTATGGTGTTTACCTTATTTAGATTTTTTTTCTTGCTTTAATAGTGTTTTTTGATGAATTGACCTGTAATTAAATGTTTATTATTAGGTGTTGTGTTAAGATTTTCTACATATTTATGTTTTTTTTTTTTTGGGGGGGAGGGGGGTTGTGTTCTTTATTTAAACATAATATTGCTTGCAATTGGTCTATTATTAACCTTTAATTTTTTGGTGAATAAATATCAATTTATAACATTACTTCTATTAGTTGGGAAATAACCCAAAGCTTGTAGTTAGAGCCTTAAGGGCCCACCCCGAAATAAGTTTTTGGCTCCGCCCCTAACTAAATACAATGCAACATATTGGATCAAGAACAGCTTAAGGATTTGACAATCTAGTACTAGGTATGTTGACATACGGGATTCAGGTGCGTTCAATATGAAAAACCCAGGCTATTTGGGATTGGCACTTGGCAAGAAACTCCAATCTCTAAATCTGAAGAGAATCTACCCATGGGTCCGCATTGTGCTGCTACAGGTTGATTGTGGTTCTTGAGTGGCATTGCCATATGCATAGTAGTTTCCAATAATGACATAATTTCAAAGTTTAGGAACTATTAAGAAATATTTAATGGCAACTTTCCTAGATGATTATGTACCAAAAAGGATAAAAAAAACTGCCAATGCTTAGTCCATTTCCCACAATGAGTCTACACAAACAAAAGTAAGGATGTTGCAGGTGATGTTTGGTAGACTGAACTGAATGGTACCATTTCATACCATGTGTGGCTGCTCAAGCAATTACCCCCAATCAGATTCCAGAAGTAATTATACAAACTAACCTCTGAATGTCTACATCCCCAAGAGAAGAAACGGTGTTTAGGCTTTGCAGATTTTCCACCCCAACCTCTGTATTCATACAATTCTGTGGAAGCATATACACATCTTGGTACCCTCTGGAAAGATGATTCAAGAGGAATACTCCCACAGGTGACAACCTACATGGACAATTTATATGGTAATTGTGAGGAAAATAAAAAAGAAATGAACAAAAGATTGAAAAGACGTATAAGAAAGACAGACCAACCATCAAGCATAAAATCTCTCTCGAGAATAAAAGAAACATGCACCATGCGCAGGTCACTTCCATCACTTCAAGTAATATTTCACATACATGGTGGTCTACACATTTTTTATCACTAGATCACAAAACAAGGACAAAAATTGTGATGTAGAAGCTATTGCAAAATAAACAAAACAAATATAAGTGCTGAAATAGTAACCAAAGCAAATGATCAGAGGAATACGTTAAGTTTCTAGAAGTCTTCAAATCTCAGCCTGTTGCTCCTCCAGAACTAAACATCAAACAGCAATACAGTATATACTGAGCTATTGAGAGTGAAAAGTGCATTAATGATGTTCAGCCACCAATATCATCCAGCAGAATGCAACAGCCAGAACACATTACTTTCCTAAGCACATCAGTATAGGTAGATAACAACTGAACTAATATCAGATAAAAGTTAATGCTTCAGGTCTAACAAGGGGAGCCATTGGCCAGCAAGAGCCATTCAGGATAGCAAACTAGGCCATATAGACTACGGCAAACAACCCAACCCCAGGATACTAGGTCTTATCAACTTTATATGTTTCTCCTAGCTCATTTTCACAGGCAATAAAAAACTAATTTGAGGTTGGCATAAACTGCCAGCAACAATATACTTGTAGTTCAAATAAACAGAAATAGTTAAGTCTTAAATAACAGAAGGATGAAAAAAATTGTCATAAAGACTCTCTTCCCGGCAAAGAATGCAATTCAGCTCACATTCCACCAAATTAAAAGCTGACTGATAAAATTCTATCCTTTAACCCACACAGAAGCAATATTTAGGTATCTTATATAACCCGTCCTATCGTGCAGATGCCACCAAAAACTTGTGCTTGAAAGATCAAAACCCACAATAAGTTTCCTTATTCGACATGATCCAAAACAATTCCATGCCATTAAGCTCAAAAAACAAAAACTAATTTGCATTAAAACATGCCTAAGTTGGGCTTACGGGTCAAAAAGGTTAATCAAATAAATCCCACAACTACCACAGTAATAGAATTCTCTGGTAGCCTGAAGGGTCCAAATGGTGGACCAAACAAATTCCACAGAATACCATAATAAGAGAATTCAATTAACACCGACCACTAATTAGACACCCAAATCATTATATAAACCACCAGACAATATAATTAACATCATAACCAACGATTAACTAAAAATAAACAAATAATTCTGAAAGTTGAAACGAAACATAATTATCACGTTTACGTAGAAATACATCCACGAATATGGACGTATATAAGGCGAGTGTGAAATTACCCCCGTGACCTTGACGTACTGTCCATCAATGGCACCTCTAAGCTCAGCATCAGGGTACCTCTTCAGAAATCCTAACAAACCCTTCCTTTTCCAACCATAATTCCACAGAATTCCCACCACCACCGGCGCCAAAATGGCCGCCACCGCAACCAAAATCACCACCTTCTTCACCGCCACCGTCAGAAACGCTCCGACCACCAAACCCATCACAACCACCACAAAAAACACCCACATTGCAAGCTTCGACAGCTTAAACCCGAGTTTTACATCTTCACTCAAGCTTGTCACTGCGGACCCATATATGACCTTTTTCATTGAATTGGAATTGGACGACTCTAATTGACCAGACCGGCGTCCCGCCGACGAGCTCAACGGGCCGGAGGTGATTAATCCGGTGGGCTGGAGTGGCGTCAAGGGTCCAGAGGAGGAGGATGATTTCTTGGGGATCGGACCAGAGTTTGACGATTTGGATCCGACTTGGCCGGAGTTTGGGCCGGATCTGACAGATCCACTGCTGTGCTGCGATGATGACGACGGCCGTGAGGGTTTCAGTGGAGGTGGGCCCACAGGCACAGAGGAGCCGTGGTCCATGCCGATGCCGTACATTTTCCCGAGCTCGCCGGACTTCTTCACGTCGCCTCCGGTGTACGGAACAGCACGCGACGCCATTGTGGGTTGGCGTTCCTTGAGCTGTTCGGGTCGACCCGAAACGTACAAGCCACTGCTCAGCTGGTGTGACCCCGTTCGAGTACTCATTGTAGAGGGAGAGAGCAGAGTGGTTGTTGCAGAGAGGGAGAGTGCGAGTGCGAGTATAGGTAGTGGTGAATGGTGTGTAATGGAGGTGGAGGATGACGGTGAAAAGACGAGAAGGGGTATAGGATTCCTTCTAATAACATATATGCCCTTGTCTCAGTATGGCGGTACAGTGTGTGCTGTCCTGGAAAAATTACACTCTGGCACCAAAATTTCGTTCAAGGATGAAGTTACCAATTTAACCTTCTTATTCAAATTTTGAAGTTTTGGTTCTAACTTTGATATCGTGCTTGACGGGCCACCGAATTTGAGAAAGGGCCCGTTGCATAGTACCAAATTGGTCATTGTAGGTCCCATTTAATAACACACAAATTTAAGAACTTTGGAAGGAAGTGTAAATTACTGGGACCCATTGTCTAGAATCTAGCAGCTCAAAAAATCCCATACAAAACTTATTTCTTTTGATTTAAACGGTCAAAGGTGTTTGAGTGTACTTACGCATATTTTAGTTAATCTCTTCTTTAATTTAGTTAAAAATAAATTATTCATGTTTGAATTAAGGTATTCATGAGAGATAAATCCTTCATAGTTTAGTCTTAATATATTATTAAAATTTAAATTCAAAATATTTAAATCTTTTGATTAATCCAATAACAAACTAAATTAACTAGTGTATGTTTTCAATGTATGCAAATATTTATATGATTAAGCCTTTGTTTTTCAGATGTGATGTAATATATTTTACGTGTTAGAATTAAACTCAACAAAGTCGACAATATTTGAAATTTGAAGGGGTTCAATACCCGTCATAAGATTGAGTTGGTGATTGATGATAAGATTTCTCTTAATTGGAACATTGAAGACGATGTCCTGGCCTTTGTCAACATTCTCGAGTCTAATAACCCTAATGTAAAGATTCACAATAGTGGAGGGCAATAAGGGAAATTAGTGATTGTATAGGGTCGGTCAAGAAATAGGCGTCCCAATTTTCTTTTAAAAAAAGGCCGTATAATTACGAAAATGTCCTTATTCCGAAAAAAACAGAAAACAGTTAGAAAACAAGACTTTTTCCCAGAAAAAACAGTTATCATTTCTCACTAGGCATATTAGCTGTAATGGTGCCTGATTCAACGCGCACACAATAGCGTGGTTTCCAGTCTCTGGCAAACAGTGTTCTAGTGGCACTAAATGTTGGGCTCAATATTTTTATATCTTATAATACAGTTATGCTATTAAATAGTTAATTCTTGACACAATATTTTAATTTTTAAGCACATTTTAACTAATTCTATTTTTGATCCGGTCAAAAATAGATTATTCATGTCAAAATTAAAGAATTATAAGAAATAAGTTCCTCATAATCTGATCTAAAGATAGTTATCAATTTTTACATATAAGACATCTGAATTCATAATTTATTCATGTCTCTGTTGAACTATATCGTGAAACTTTCAGCAAGAGATTTTGGGATAGGGTATTCGGTTGGGCCTACTCATAGCGGTCCGTCTTATTTTCTCTTTAGACAAACTACAAAGGGGTGTAGTAGGTTATTTATTAATTTTGAAAACAAAATAACAAATATTTAATTAATTTTGTTAAAATTATAAAAGTAAGTAGAATTATAGAATTAATGGGTTTTCTGTCTAATAATATTATTTATCTTGTAAAAATTTTATCTTCTTGAAGTCAAAAATTTAAACTCTCTTCCTCCCTCGCCCAAGCCATCCCCCTCCCAGTGTCATTTATAATTTGCTAATTGTTTTGCTAGTAATGATAGCGCGTATAGGCCAGTACATTCGACTGGCGCTTGGGGGTTGGCCTTTATTTTTTTTATTTATTTATGAAAAGGACATGTCATTATGAATTTTTTGGGCAAAGGCCAATAATGTCCCCCTTGGATACCCCAAGGATTTCAGAATCTTGGGACTTTTGAGTGGGATATTTCTGTCATTTCGTCGTGGGGTCCACTGTGCTCTGTCGGCGGAACTATTTTCTCTTACCTCTTACTTTTATTCATTTGAAAATAAATTGTTCTTACTATTTTTGTAATTAATAATAAAAAATTTTTGATTAATTATAATTATAACCCTTAATAATTTGTAATTTTATCTTTAAATATTATAATTTTTGGTACATTACTAAAAAAGATATATCGTAATTGCTTCCAAACTTGAATTGTTAAATGCAAAGTTTATACTATTAAAAGAAATCAAATTTAAAAAAAAATAAATTTAAATTTAAAATAAATGGTTTCACGTATGCTTTTGATTTAATCACTAAGCCAAATTTGAATTGAAAAATACATTACTTCGTACATTCAATGGTTTTTTACGTGTTCAAGAACCAAAGCTTGTTTTTAATGGCCCCATGTACTCAAGTTAGCCATCAATGGTTCATATTCATGTGTCCAGCAATTAATTCCAAAGCCTTTTTATCATCTTATCCCCGACTTCAAGTTTATCGACGTTTTGAAAGTATATATTGTAAGGTCGCATCTCGGGCCAAAAATCGAGTCGAGTTTGTCTAGTTTAAAAAAATTGAATTGTGCCTAAAATTAGCTGAATCGGAGTAATTTGATTATTTTACATATAAACAAGGTGAGTTTTACGAGCTCTAGTCGAGTTTTTTAATCTAATTTTTTTTCAACGAACTTAATAAATTATTCGATTTTGACTTGTTTAAAAAACTCGAATCAAGTCCTATATAAATCAAATCTGAGTTAAGCCTGAATAGCATGACTCAATTATTAGCCAAAATCATATCCCACCGATTTGGATTCTAAAAATTAAGATCGTTTTAATGTTTTAACTAAAGTTTTACTTGTTCCTAACCCACTTTATAGGTGGGTGTCTCGCATTTCGTAGCCCATCCCAAACTCTCTTTTCTATCCTTAATCCATAATCACTAATCTCCCACGAAGATGATAAGTGACACGTGATATCACCAAATCCGAAGGCTCGTGGTCATCTTATAGGTAGTCTAACAGAATTTAAGTGATACATCTACTCGATCCAATTAAATAATGAATTTTTTTTAAAGAGACGAGAGATTTTAATTGATCGCTTAAAAGAGGCTAGTTTTAAATCAATTACCAGTTAATCATAAGATTTCTAGTCTTTTACGAGTTAGCACCAAGCTACAAGTTATCAATAGAGCACATGCTGATAAATCGTTCTTCCATTAATTGGTCAAATTGCTTGATGAGTGCATAGACAGTCACTTAGCCTTTGTTTGCAAGATAAGGTCTTTGTTTATTAGTAAGTCGAGGTTTATAAGGAGTGGATGTCAATGTTCAAATTCCACCGCCAATGTATCGTCGGTTTGGCAGTGTTTGATTAGCGGGATTTTAGAAGGTAATATCTAGTACACGAGATTAGACCTCGTTTCACGTTACGTCAGTCAAACACAAAATTAACATGTTTATATTTAATTCTATTCTCTCCGTTCTTAAATATCTATCGTTTTACATAATTTTTTGTATTCCATAATATCTTTCGTTTTATGAAAGCAAAGCATAATTAATATTTTTTCTTCAAAATTTATCGTTAACTTTTCAATTCATTAGATTAGGTGGAGGCTAAGTGTCTTTCATATTTCTTTCTTTCCCAATACATATGGAATAAGAGTATTTTAATCTTGTGTAATTATTTTTTACTCATATTAGAGTTATTTAATAGTATTCTTAATCCCTCTGTAAAAACTTTAAACGACAAATATTTAGAAACAGAAAGAGTAATAAATTTGGGTGGCAAACATAAAGATCCGTGAGACCCATTAAAAAAATATATCAATGCACATTGAACCCAATACGACATCAGTCTATACGATTGTAAATGAATTAGGTATATATTAAACAAATTTTAACACGCGATGACATAGACACAATACAACCCAACTCATTCACAAAGAAATTTAGTAGTGATAATTAGAAACTTAAAAAGTCGAAAGAATAAAACTCTTAGGAGTAATTCAGTGGTTGAGTTTAATATTTGGAAACTCAGAGGTTTCATGTTCAATATTTCTCATATTTTATGAGGATCTACCACTCTTATTCCTTAGCGAACATATTTTAAATCTGTTTGGATTATAAGTGACTAGTATTCGAGTGTGAAAGAGTAGTCAGCTTAAGTCTGAATACCTATTATTAAAAGTGTATAATAAAATCAATATAAAAAGCCATTTGAAATTTGAAGTTATTGGAGTCGCTTTCGAATCTTTTGTTTAGGGAAGGTGGGTGATCTTTTGCTTTCTTAAGCTAATTGACATACTCTATTCGTCGTCTCTGTCTGGCTGATCAGTGCATGCATGACAATCTTGTATCGGTATGCAAAGCTTCGATTATTTTAATGGCGTAGGGTTTGTTGTATATAGATGCTATGTGGCCACCTTTGCTTCTATATCTTGGGGGTCATATATTATTATATCATGTGCATTTTTATATTTTAAAAGAAAAAGCCCATAACAATCTCTCTGTCTTTTTTTCCACAATCGAGGGTGATGATTTTGAGACAAAGAGCCTGCGATTATTTAATTCTAATTCGTGCATCAAGAGTTTGAATTATCTAAATATTTTTTTTACATACAAAGATAAAAGACATACTTCTAATTTTCTTAGACACTATCTTATAGAAGAGATATGGTATAGTAGGTAATAATGCGTCGTTTCAAAGATAGAACAACTTAGTCGAATTCATTGTAACTTCACTTTGATTTGCACAATTGAATGAAGTAGATAGTTTCACATGATATTTTTTTTGTATTTTGCCCAAAAAAACTTATGCGTTGAGAAAAGATGTTTTCGAATAGATGAAAACTCTTTGTCGATGCTCTCCACCGACAAAGCTAACTTAGATGTTTGTTCAAGTATTTGTGTTGTATTATTTATGGAATTTATACGGAGATTTATGTCCTCTGGTTAATTAGGGAAGGATCTTTTTTTGGTAGGAAACATAAACTTTTGTGTGAATGAAAAATGGTACATCAAAAAATTGGATAAAGAATCCAACCAGGACGTAGAAAAATACAAAAACATTGATGGGTTAATGACAATTGTAATAGGTTTTTATTGTTAGAA